ACTGGAAGATTCATGCTGACGCTGTTTCCGAGGCAATCTCTTTCGATTCCGGTGAAAAGGTGCTAAGCTTGAGTCCGTCATTTGACGAACATCATCAGAACAAGGTATCATCGTCACGACAAAATTCAAGCTAACGAGTCAAGAAAACTCGCCGAAAAATCCGCAAAAAGTGGTATATAAACGCAAAATCTTGCCTTTTTGATCAAGTATAAATTGATTTGCGGTTGTTTGACCTTGTTTTCGCAACTTGGTCATATTGTCAGGAAGTCTAAGAGGAACGCACCTAATCCGGAGTCAATTGTATGCATGAACATTTCCAGTCTCGGACCGTAATCTTGGCACATTCGTCAGTGAGTCTCGCCATTCTTAGCACCACATAACAACTCGTCAAAAAGACAAGTGAAGCCGATCCTTTGACCAAACGTGTGCTAAACCGTTGTGCTATCTCTCCTTCTGCCATGGTCTATTCACATTTCCCATATCCTCCTATCACACCTTCACTGTTACAATTTGTATCGTGCTTATTTCCATGTCGTGTGGTCTTCTCCTTTGAGTGGCATTCCTGAAAACCCTTCACACTCCACACCCATTCACCCTTGTGTTGGGAAAGTTGATCACAGTCTGCCATATTGTTACGCAGTCTTATCACAGTCTCTCTCTTGCCCCGTAAGATCAGTCTGCTCTCTTCCTGATTCACATACTTCACTCAACCCCTGCCAACCCATCTGTGCTGCTCAAGGCGTTATTCACTCCCCCCCTTCTGCGTCTGTGTGACTGATTCGAGGCTATAGACTTCGAGTATGTCTCATCGTCAAGCCTTTGCTACATTGACCACAATTAGCTCCAGTCTCCGTCACGTCTATCCTGTTTCTATCGCGAATACCCAGTTTATGACTTCCTGTGTCCTAGTCTCTTGTGGGCAAACCCACAAATGTTGTGGTACTGAATGATTAGATTAATTTCAATTTCGAACCACAACGTTTGTGGGTTTGCACGCAAGAGACTGGGGCATGGGAAGTCAAAGACTTGGTATTCGGGATAGAAACCGGATAGACGTGACGGAGACTGGAGCCAGTTGGCTGACAGTAGGTCTGTTGTACCAAAGACGTGGTCAATGTAGCACAGGCTTGACGATGAGACTTACTCGGAGTCTTTAGTCCCGAATTAGTCACCCAGACGCAGGGGAGGGGTAATAATGTCTCGAGAAGCACAGATGGGGTGGCAGGGGTCGAGTGAAATATGTGAATATGAGAGAGAGAGTAGACGGATCTTACGGGGCAAGAGAGAGCCGGTGATAAGGCAGATTCTGATCAAAATTCCCAGCACAATGGTGTGTTCAGGGTTTCATGAATGCCACTTAAAGGAGCCCACCACACGACTGGTACAAATTGTAACAGTGAAGGTGTGATAGGAGGATATGGGAAATGTGAATGGCCCAGGCCAGAAGGGGAGATACCACAACTGTTTAGCACATGTTTGGTCAACGGATCGGCTTCACTTGTCTCTGACGCGTTGTTGTGTGTTGCTAAGACTGACGATATTCACTGACGATGCCGGAAAAATGTCTGAGAATGTACCAAATGGTCATGCATACAATAGACTGCGGACTAAGTGCATTCTTCTAAGTCTTCCTGCCAATATGACCAAGTTGCTGAAACAAGGTCAAAGTGATTTGGTTAGTTACGGTCATATGTCATCTTCGATGCCTGTGAGTGTGTCTGTCTCTGTACCTTTATGTTCCTGTCTGTGTTCGCTTATGCACGAAACCCGCAGTGATGGAGCAAAGTAATTTGGACAGCAACAAGGAACATCTCTTTTTGACCATCAAGCTGGTCACGAGGAGTCGGCCGTCGTCTTCTGGTGGAACCGACCTTCCAATCTCTTCGCACAACATTTTTACTTGGAATGGAAGTCTTATTGTCAACTGGAGCTCTGATACTGTCTCTCATTTGATGTACCAAATGAGAACTGCGTCAACCTGAAAGCCGTACTAAACATAAACGGCTGCAATACCACACGATTCAGCCGTCCTCTTCTTATGAAATCGACATTTAATCTCTTCTTCGTGCATTTTCCTACGAAAGCAAAAAATGTACAGTTATCTTTTAACCTAATATAACACGATAAATACTCTTGCTGTCATAACAGCAGTATCCAGTGCGTATAGTGTGGAGACTGAGAGACCCACTTGCATTTATTCATTTTGTATGTATCTTTGACTCTAATGTTTATATCGCAAATTGACAAGAAAGTCTTTCGGTTTTCTTTCGGCGACAAGTGGCCTAAAAAGCCAACACTGTCGTGACGACAACAGTTGCTACAGCCAAGATTGACACACGAGAACGCCTGCTAAGCTCGTCCGACAGGTCGTCATGTGCCCGTCTGGCCCTAACTCATCTGGTACCACCAGGCCTCGGTGTCTGGCTGTCCGTGTTCACCTGCCGCAACGGCTTCTACCGCATTTTGTCCCGTCTCTCCTTCCGCCGCGTCTTGTAGCCGGCTCACGCGTGTCCATGTCGCCTCGGCTTCACACCTGATCCCATGGCCCGACTGATTGGCCGGCCAGCTTCAAGTCCCGTCGCCAATTGGGCGGCCGGGACGTCTGCGAGTTCGGAAGGTGAAGCGCGACCGAATCGCCACTTCATTTGCTGCCTGATCGCGCTCGGATTTTCCACCCTTTCCCTACCGCCTGTCAACACAACACATGCACCTCGGTCCGGTAGTCAAGGCAAGAAGACTGTCGACCTCGGAATTCGGTTTGTTCACATTTAGAAACCGAAACTTGCATTCAAGCGAGGTGAGTTCCAATCGAGCCAAGAATTACATTAATCTAGTTAATCGAATGTATGAAGAACAAGATGGTGTGTGTGGCCTTTTGTGTGGTCGCAGTCTCCTTTCGTTGTATAGAACTTGTTTGACCTTGTTTTCGCAACTTATTGGTAGGAAGACTTAGAGGAACCCACCTAATCCGGAGTCCATTGTATGCATGATTATTTTCAAAGTTGAACCGTGTAAGTGGGACATTCCCAAACGTTTCGCCGACATCACCACACAACAACTCGTCAAAAAGAGAAGTGAAGACGATCCTTTGACCAAACGTGTGCCAAACAGTTGTGGTATCCCCCCTTCTGCCCTGGCTTATTCGCGTTTCCGGTAGCATCCCATCATACCTTCACTAATACAATTTTTACCGTGTTTATTTACACATAGTGTGGTGTGCTGTTTTGAGCGAAATGAAACCTTCACACTCCAACTGTCGTTCTCCCCCCCCCCTTTAATCTTTGTGCAGGGAATGTTGATCACAGTCGGCCATATTGTTACGCAGTCTTCATTCCCACAGTCTCTCTCTTGCTCCGAAAGATCTGTCTGCCCTCTCCTTGGTTCACATATTTCACTCAACCCCTGCCACATCATTTGTGCCACTCGAGGCGTTATTCGCCCTACCCTGCGTCTGGGTGACTAATTCGAGGCTACATGTACCACGTCTCTGGTACAACAGACCTACCGTCAGCCGACTGGCTCCGCTCCTCGCTGTCTCCATCCTGTTTCTATCCCTAATACCAAGTCCATGATTTGCCACAAATGTTGTGGTACAGCTTGATTCAATGTTGAACCACAACATTTGTGGGTTGGCACACAAGCGACTAGATCATAGGAGGTAATAGGCTTGGTATTAGCGATAGAAAAAGGATAGAGACGGCGGGACCGGAGCTATTTGTACCAGAGACGTGGTACATGTAGCAAAGGGGTGGTGACCATGACATTCAGAGGCGTGCGCCTCGAATTTGTCACCCGGACGCAGGGGAGGGTAAATAACGCCTCGAGTAGGACAGATGTGGTGGTAGGAGTCGAGTGAAATAGGTGAACGAGGGAGAGAGCAGACGGACTTTACGGAGCAAGAGAGAGACTGGGATAGGACTATGAATGAGGACTCTGATCATCATTCCCTGCACAAAGATGAAAGGGGGGAGGAGAACAACAGCTGGAGTGTGAAGGTTTCATTTCGCTCAAAACAGCACACACAGTAAAAATGGTATTAGTGAAGGCATGCTAGGAAGCTACCGGAAACGCGAATAACCCAGGGCAAAAGGGAGCATACCACAACTGTTTAGCACACGTTTGGTCAAAGGATCGTCTTCACTTCTCTTTTTGACGAGTTGTTGTGTGGTGCTAAGAATGGCGATATTCACTGACGATGCCGGCGAAACGTTTGGGAATGT